TATCACGGTATTAAAGTTCAATAAATGATAAAACGGTATTTCATGAATCAATAGATGTGTGAAATTGTTTAAGGTCGCTAATGGAGCCCGAGTTTGGTGTGTTTGTCGGTCAGCTGTTGTTTGACCTATTTTACAGTTTTTAAATGCAGTACGAGGTCTGATGTTTTTATTTCATAGTTTCGTGTGCATATATCACTGTTTTATTGATTATGGGTTGAATGACTGAGAACCCAATATTGTATGTTCTCTTGTTTGGCATAAATTACTAGTTTGCTTGTTTGTGTGTGATTTGATGATGCTGACTGAGGAAAAAGGGGAATCAAAGGTTATGTAAATTGATAATTGTATAATGTGGTCAGCCTAACTAGATATCCTGGGAGATGGTGGACGAACCGGGTCCGTAGGGAACCCTACCGGGATTGTGGTCTCTCATACCGGACGGGGTATGGAGACCTTATGTGTTTTGGCGCCCATACCGGACGGGGTATGGGGACGGCCCGTTTCACCCTCATACCGGACGGGGTATTGAGGTTGATAGTTTTGGCGCCCATACCGGACGGGGTATGGGGACGGCCCTGGAATCTGATTACAAGTGTTAAGGGTTCATGGGTAGCGGGACCCCTATGGATCCCCATGGATACTAGTAGGCTGGTAAATGAGGAAAAATATGTTGTGTAAAGATTGAAATGCAAAAGGCGTGATAAGTATTGTGTTATACAGTTCATATGATTTCATGATGATGATAATGTTATTGCTTTCGTATGTTATTTTATGAACTTCACCGAGGTAAATGGATAGTAAATGATTTTATTATTGATAAAAGAATTTGTTGTAAATTGTGCTCCATTGGTCTTTTTGTGTTTTCTACCCACATTTACCTCCGTGACGGTGAGATAGTGTGATGTCTTTACTGGGCTGGTGTAGCTCATTCCTTATTTAATCATTTCAGATCAAGAGGACTTGGTTCCCAAGCCCGTTCCGTAGGAAAACGGCGAAGGGGACGCTTGAAGACTCCGTAGTTATATTTATAGCTTTTATTTTCGAGTTTCTTTTTTAGTTAACTTATTCTTTGATATTGTTAGTACGTTTGGATTATTGTGTAAGGAATATTAATCAAACTTTTATTTCGTTTCCGTACTCAGAATTTTTATATATATTTTTTTTAATTTTCGGGGCTGTTACACCAAGTCTCCATACTCTGTTCGGTATAAGACAACATTCACGGTAGGGTTCTATATGAACTTGGTCCGTCTACCATCTCCCAAGATATCTAGTGAGGCTATCACCTTATCTATTTATTAGATCACATCTCATTCCTATTTGTCTTTAGTCTCCGTCACCAAATCAAACAGAAATACATAAACAAGTAAACATGTATCCGACAATACAATCATAACTTAGATCCCAAAAACAAACAGTGGTTAAGTAAAGCAGTAATACATGCATTTAAACCATATAATATATAAACCAGGTACGACGGCAGGTGGCGACGGTCGGCTCCCCAGCGGCTAGGTTGTCTTCTCCGACGAGGGGCTCTGGCGGTTAAAGTTTGGGTTTGGGTGCGGATGGGGTTACTTATACCCATCCGCTTTTGATCTGGGT